CAAACAAAACACCCGAACCCCGAAAAAATAGTTTTTTACGCAAATCCACGTTTATTTTGAAATGAGCCGTTGCGATATCCGACTGATTTCGATAGAGCGGGTCACATATGCCAGGCCAGTAAGTGGCGCTGTAGTCTGCCACAAAAGCAGCGAAGAAGACTTCCCGCGCATGGTTACCATGGTTACCCTTCTGTTTATTCTCCGCTGTGGCTTTTTTTCTCCCTCCCCGAGGCAAGCGTTTGCTCCTGCTGCTTTAACCTGTTAAGCACCAAGCCTGTTTTTCATGTTTCAGGCTCGAAAATGACATGCCCAAAACAAATGACTACAACTTAACTTCTAAAAGGGTTATATGAATTATTTATTTTATCAAAGCAAGGTTACATCTGTGAGTTGGATGTAGAAGTGTCAGAATCAATATAAATGTTTTTTATTTTAAAGAAAATTCAGATTTTACATAGTAAAAAACTGTAAATTATAGTGTCCGTCCAAAAATGATTTTTTACAGATAGTGAAAACTACCCTTGGATGATGGGTTAGTAGACTAAAAGCTTTAGGAATCCAAAGTACAACATATAATAAGTACCCTGTATCAAGATTGATGCAAAACAAGTGACATTAACTGCAGCATCGTTTTTTTATCGTTTTAATGCCATTGAAGACCAGTTTTGACCAAGGTAAGCCATGTTAGCGTTTCTAGCTACTTAGCTCCACATGTTATGATGTACGCTTTCGTTTATAGCGTCGCAAATGTTTATCACTGAGTGTTGAGGTGGGCACCACTAGATTCAGTGTCTCCAGGACACCAAAAACGAGTGGTTGGCTGTGCATCTAGGATAAGTAATAAGGGAGTTATTGTGAGTTTAAGTGCCGTTTTAGGTTAAATCTTTTCGCTCGTGGCTAATTCAGAGGCTGAGTGCTAGCATTGTGGGTTTTTTTTGGAAAAAAAAATTAAAAAGATCAGTTAGCTGAGTTTCTTCCCGTTAAATGGATATAAAACATTCATAGTTTTATTAAATATTAAGATTCCTTAGACGTTGTTTCCTGCAAATGACGCGTTTATCCGCCCGGTACCGGGCGGATGGTGCGTAACAGGTTAATTAAATGCAATCCCTCCCTGTCGAGGCAAGCACTGTAATTCTCTCCGGTTAGTCCACCAGCAGATGACAAACACCCACCTCTCCGCCTCTTCCAAGGAACGAGGGGACCATGCGGCAGAGTTTCAGTTAGGTTTTCTTTCGCCGGTCAAGATGTCCGTTAAAGTTTAAATCTTCCGGACAAAATTAGAAAAGTGCCGGTCAAAGGTCTTCTTTGTTATTTATTGAGCTTTAAAACAAATGAATAACGACTCTATATAATAATAGGCTATAATAAAACACGGAGGACGGAGATCTATTTTTCTCCCCCTCTTCTGACTTGATCAGAGCGGCTCCCCTCTCCTGCAGGGGGGCGTGGTCAGCTGCAGCTCACAGAATCAGTCCCCTGCAAAAACAGGGCTGGAGAACAGCAAATAGAGCGAAATGAGGTATGGCTAAAATGCATGATCTGTTTGGTATTTTGAAAACAGAAACGTATAAATATACCTTATATAGGTATGGTCCTACAATATATCATTTAAATATAGCATGATAGGTCCATGTTAAGTAGCACGGCGCATGCCATATAACCACAATCTCTAAGGTTTGTTTCCGGCCTTAGGACTTTTTATACATGTGAGACCCCTCTCCTCCAACAATTCCACAACTGAATTGCGCCCAGGCTTTGATTCTGCTAGGTTAGTAGAGCTGGCGAGTAGTTTGGGTTCAGCAGCAGCAGCAGCAGCAGCTGATGAATGGTTCAAATTACCCAACACATCAGAAGATGTTCCCTTCTGTTGTTTTTAGACACGGTAATTATAACAAATGAAGTCAGATTCTTTGCTTTTCTTCCACATATGGAGAACAATTAATTTCTAGTGAAGGGCCGGATTCGAAGACAAACGAGTCGACTTTACTTCCCTGTACACATAACGCTAATCTTTGCCAAGGAATTAATGTGATGCAAAGAGCTGCTGACTGCAGGATATTCATCTCTGCAGCACAACGTTCAACATCATTTGATTTAGCTCTGTACTTCATGCTATTGTTTCCAATAAAGTGTGATCTTATCTGACAGTAAACAAACAGGGCCGTGCAGACAACATATCCATATCATGATAATCTAAGTCATTTATTCTTTGTCAATGGAGATCATGAAAATCGAGTTATGTGCAAGTAATGTGAAGCTTTTTGTCATGCTATTGGAGAAGAAAACTCCAATGTAATTAATATTGATCTAGAAATCCACACACACTTTATAGGATTTTAACACTCAATTCCATGACATGAAAGCAGAGTTGATTAACAACTCAACATTCGTAGACCTAATAATATTACTGTCTACTGTGTTTTCTGGTTTTACACATGAATAAATCTTGCATTATAGACTAATGTTATACAGAAATGGATCTGAAAATCAGGAGTGCATAAGTTATTAAATGTTCACATATTATTCAGTTAGTTTATGATACTATGCAGTATTTATATTACATACAGTCAGGCTTCTACCACTGTAGAAATGGCCCTTTATACACAAAGAGACCATGCAAATAGACAAAGTATGACTTTATAGGTATAGAGCTTGACTGCAATCTCACTTGGTCAGAGTTTAGCATGTTAGCATGGTTATTTAAGCATTCAACTATAGCAAACAAGTCCAGTTTATCTTAGTCTTGAATTATACATTGAGTCAAGTCTATTATTTATAGGCTATGTCTGAGGTAGATGAAAAGTAAACGTTTTCATCACTAGTGGAGACTTTCTAGGAAAGCAAAGTTCCTTTATACTGTAGGAAACGGTTAGGATCAATGAAAGGGCCAAACAGATTCAAAAGTCAAACAGATTATTATGTTAAAAACAGATCTTGGTAACATTCCCATTCACAAAAAATTATTGTTACGTCTATATGACCACCTTTACACATTCAATGGAAATCAATCTGTATATGACTTTAGATATTTTTTTAACTCATTCATGTATGTTTGGTATTTGTTTCTCCTCTGTTTACATTGAGATACGCACTGCCAGAGAAGGGTTAGGTAATACAGGGAGACATCAGTCTGAAAACACCACCTTTTATGGCAAGGGGGCCTGGAAACTGTCTTTGAGGTACGTCTACACTCGCACACAGAAAAGTGGGGATAATTTCTCTGAGAAGCACAAAGTTTAGCCCTCCTCATGTCCAGACAAAAGTTTGAATATTTGATGTTATTTACTACTGGAGCTCTGTCGCCCAAAAAATGGTTCTCTGGATATCCCTGGCATTAAATGTTTCTGACCACATGTTGTTTCATGTGGTTGGAAAACACAATTACATATCCAATTTAATGTGGTCACAATTTGTCCCTAACCTCTTTCTATGGCGCTTTGCACGGTAGCATCATAATTGGTTGTCAATGTTTTTCTGGGACTTAAACACCGTTAACATGTTGTCAAGCCCTGATTCAAATCTGATCAGATCATCCATTTCAGTCCAAGATGTTCAGGTGGTAGTATAAAGACTAAAGAGATACACTTCACATGAAGGTCTTCCACAGTGCTCTAGAAAAGGAGAATACAATGACCTTGTTTGACCGCATTTCAGAAACATAATGGAACATCAATCAGGACTTCCTCTGGTCATTCAGGCACAGTCCAGGCTGCTGCTGTCTCTTTTCTGTCACTCTTTTTTTCTTCTCACAATTCTCTGTCAAAGACGGACATGTAAACAAGTTGCTCCTTTGAAGAACTTGACATGGCTAAGCTATTACTCCTTTCATCTCTGCCAGTGATCTGCTCTACTGGAATCTTTTATAGGAAAGAGTCTTGACAATTATTTCAAAGACATGCTGTTGAGCAGCATGGTTCCATTTTTCTCCACCACACCACAATCTTAAAATGAAAGGAAACATTTGTCATGGATATATAATTCGGAATGAATTTTTGTTATTTCAAATATACTGTATTCCTAACAATTTACAATAACAGTACAAGTATTTTGCAATAAATCACAAGACAGATAATTCGTATTTTCTAAATTGTACTACAATGGCTAGCTAGTTTTTTATTAACGCTTACGTGCCTAACTAACAAAACTGCTAGAAAACGGCTGTGGTTAGCTAGTTAGCTAGTCAGTTAGCTAGCTAGCTTAACCTGCTAAACCAAAAACTGAAGCCTTCGTAATAGTGTGAATGGAGGGAAAATCAACCCAACAAATGGCACATTCTTCAAAAATATGAATTTGTTCAGAATAATTGTACTTGTACACGGACCAAAGATGTCTTGCAACTACCCTGCTGAAAAAACCAGCTTAGACCAACAAGGCTGGTCTGGCTGGTCAGGCTGGTAAACCAGCCTGACCAGCCAGTCAATATTAGGCTGGATTAGTTTGCTGGTTAAGAGGGGTTTTGGACACTTTAGTTGGTCAGGATAGCTGGTTTGGTCACAGTGGTCTAGCTGGTCACCATTAGCTGGTCGGGATAGCTGGTTTAGCTGGTAAAAGCTGGTGGTCACAGTGGTCTAGCTGGTTTGGTCACAGTGGTCTAGCTGGTTACCATTAGCTGGTCGGGATAGCTGGTTTAGCTGGTAAAAGCTGGTGGTCACAGTGGTCTAGCTGGTCAGGATAGCTGGTTTGGTCACAGTGGTCTAGCTGGTTACCATTAGCTGGTCGGGATAGCTGGTTTAGCTGGTAAAAGCTGGTGGTCACAGTGTTCTAGCTGGTCACTATTAGCTGGTCCGACTGGTATGATCTTGAGTAGAACTTTAACTGGGATTACTTGATGGTTAAGGTGGTCATATATGATGATGAAACACTCTCACCCAATTGCAGTAGCTCAATGAACATCTATCATTTCAGATCAGAGCACCTACCTTACCAGAATGTATAGAATGTCTGTAAATAAATACTCATACATCAAATGATTAGAAGCAGGAAAATAATTTATAACACACAATGAACATTAACACACATTTGAAAACATTTTCAAAACACCCATTACTTCATATTTTTAAGCAGTTTCCTTCAATTGTTTCTTTCCGTTTTTCACAAGGTCCTGTATTTTTTGTGAAATGTAGTAACCGGCCAACTTCTCCCTCTCGGTCTTCTCCACGTTTTGTGAATTCAGCCATCCTCTGAAGCACTCTTGAAAAGAGAAAGGAAAAACAGATTACATTTTAGCTTTGTGTTATGATTACTTAAATATGTGCACTGTGAGATGAAAAAGAAACATTTATCAAGTTTAGTTTTGAACATTCACTGTGATTGGGTCTATTGTCCACGCAATACACCGTATTTAATTTTTTATTTAATATTCTGTTCTTGTAAATATCATATTCTATTATATTACATGTATATAAACTTTTTGCACTACTTTTTATTTTTGTATTTTATTATATATGTTGCATTGTTGGAGGAGCTCAGGTCAGAAGAATTGCATTGACATTTGACTGTAGCTGCTGAGCATATGATGATAAAACCTTTGAATCTTGAATCCAACACTTTTTTCAGTGGAAAATCCTAAATTGTAGGATAGTTTGGCCATAATAATGCTTTATGATTACATTTCTAGTGAGAAATGTATATTTTACTTTCAGAATCTACCTCCAGTGGATGTGTAGGATCTACAGTATGATAGATATATTACTTTACACCCGGAAGTATGTATTGTCATTCTTATTGTCGATAAATTGAGGGATATACGCTATATTTGATTAACACCAGTATGTACTTTATACATCCACCTCGAGTGTTTGTCTCTGCACCGGAAATAATTTAATTTTAAAGTTCAACCGCATATTATATAAACTATATCAGCGCCACACCTGCGTAACACATGGTGCCTCTTATCTGAACCATTTTTTAAGCGATTTGTAATCTATTCTTGTCGACTTGCAGCCTAAATACAAAGATAAATCCACTCTCCTACCACTGCTTACCTCTAATGAGCCTTGGTAGAACTAGTGTCTGAGTCATGGGGCCCAGAACGGACTGAAGACATGTGGAACAGAGGACAGGCATGGTTCGATGTACAGGGAACTTTTTGAACCTTTCTGCAGCGATAAATAAAGAAAACAAAGAAGACATTATTAATAATAGTAATGATGGTAACAACAATAATATTAGTATAACTATTTATATAGCACTTACACAATTGCAAAGTGATTCTCACAACAAAAATAAAGAACAAAACAATATCAACAATAAAAAAACAAATGATTATAGGAATGTTAAGAGACAAAGAAATGATAAACATTCTGAGAGGCCGACTACAAAAGGTAGACTCAATGGCTCTTGATGACATCAATGAGCAGTCCCAATAGATGCTGCTGTATAAAAAGAAATAGAATAGGTCCAGATTTCTTCTATTTTGTGTTGGATGATTTGTTTTATTGATTGCTGATGGATGTATATATATATATAGGGTTTATTCAACAGCAGTAAAGCATTAAGTTGCTAAATTAACGTACACTGAACTGTAAAACAACTTACCACTATTTAGGAAAGGCTCTGATCAGGAGGGTTGACTAGTAGGACAGCAAAGAGGTGGTGTCATGTACAACCATTGGTAGATGTTACACCTGAAAGAAAGATAAGGAAATAAGAGAAGACAGGAGGACAAACATCCTCTTAAGTAAAAGACCAAATCATGCCAAGCTTTAACCTGAGCCTGTTTTTTCAGTCTTTACAATGCACAGTTAGAAAATACCTTCCAAAGGCTACATTCAAACTCAATACCATAAATAACTGGGTACCAAGGTGCTTTACCTGATAGAACACGTTCCACACGGAGCAGCAACCATCCGGCTCGGCCTTTTGCTGCATATCATCTCCTCCTTCTCCACTGTTTCCAGTAGATCTCTACTGTCCAATAAAACTGAAATTCCCCAAAAAATCATATTAAAAAAGTTAAAAACAATAACTTGCTTTTGGCATTGAAACAGATTAGATTAGATTAGAATCTCACCTTTTTCCTGGATGTCAGGAAGGCGTTCCCTTCAAGTCCGCAACCAGTCATAGGGGTTCAAATGCAAAGCCTGAACGATGACAAGAGCGAGATTTACATTTTACAATTATATTTTTAATTCATACCAGAGCAGTGTGTACGACATGCAAAGAACAGATCAAATCCCCTGACAGACTCACACACTTTGGTGATGTCCTTATCTGATAATGTTTCATTTTTTAGCAGCAAAGTAACATTACTCAAAGTATATGTATGTTTTGCATCTCCTCAACAATGGTCTGTATCATTGAGTAGAAAAAAACTGTCCCCACAATTTCAGGTAGATTAACACACATTTGTAAGAAAAGTTTACAATGAAGCACAAAAACCCTCTTTGTATTAAGCTAGCTGCCACAGAAAGTACAGCTTAACATGCTAACCTTTGGTGGAGAGCTACAGTTAGCTAACTTCATGTTCAACACAACACCTCTAATGGCATTACATTGACGATTTTAAACAAAACTTAACTCTCTCAACTTGTAAGATAACGTTAAGTTAACTTACAACTTATAGCTGCATCACGTTTTTCAGGGGAAACACAAACTGCAGAAAACGTTAGCTGCTAACTGTTGTTAGCTAAGACAGCTAGCCTCCTAGCAAACGTAAGGTTAAGTTAACATTAACGTAACGTTGTAAGAAAGCAAAACGAACCTTCGAGAAAGCTTTTACTCTCAGACTTGGTGAAATTGTGTAGTGTTGCTTACCTCCAGAAGGACTTTTAGCGCGTTTCCCAGTAGACAGAGCTGTCAGAGCGGTGCCTCTCAGAAGAGCAGCCGCTGGGCGGAGTCACAGAAACGTTCAACTGATCTTCACTCCTCGACCGTTACGGGCCGTCTCCACAGCAGCGTTGAAAAATCTTGAAACGCTTCTGCCCATTCACTTTGAATGGGGTGACGTCACTTTCCCTCACTTTTCGCCGGAATGCATTGTGGGCAGGGGAGCGGAGATTCTCAGGATTTTCAAGATTCAAAGTTGAACAATGTTCAACTTTTGAAGCTGAGGTGGAAGCGGCAGCCAATCAAATCCCGTGTACGCAAATCTGGCAGTTCAAGCTCTAGCCAATCAAACGGCGTGTATGCTGGGAGAGACATACCGCAGATCATTTCCTCATATTCCAAAAAATGGAGGAGAAATTAGCGGTAGCGAATCAATCACCCGGTGCTTTATGACCAGACCTACCGGGATATAAACCGGAGGAGCCAGGCATGGAGGGAGGTGGCAGAGACAGTGGTATGTTTTCGCCTGTTTTGGGGAGTTTATATCCAGTTTACTTCGGGCTTTTTGGCTTCGTATGTCGCGGGCGGGAGATTCATGTGATTGGTTGATCGCAAAAAAATCCCCAAGCCTCAGATACGCCCACCTCCAAGATTTTTTTAACGCTGCTGTGGAGACGGTCCGTTAGTGCCAGTCAAAACATACCGCTTTGTTTCAACCACTGCCGTCTCGCCGTTCCCCCGTGTCCCGCCCTCTCTGTCTGTCTGTGTCTATTTCAGTTTCGCTAGCAAGACTGCTGGTAGACCAGCTTCACCAGCTTCACCGGCATAGACCAGCTAAAACCAGCATAGACCAGCATGACATCCATGCTGGTCTATGCTGGTTTAGCTGACCAGGCTGGTCTTGAACCAGCAAGAACAGCCTGGCCAGCTTGTCCAGCCTGGTAAACCAACTAAACCAGCCTAACACCAGCCTAACACCAGCCTAACACCAGCTAAAACCAGCTAAAACCAGCAACCATCTTAAGCTGGTCTATGCTGGTTTTTTCAGCAGGGTAGTACTGTCGAAAATACATTTCTTAAACTCACATGTGCATTAAAGCTCAACTTTTGTATTTGGCAGCATCTGAAAAAAACGCTGTTTATTGTAACTCTAAATACCACAGCATAACCATGTAATATGTTTTGAAAAATTAATAAATTGCCTTACAGTAAGACGTTGTGGCTCAGCAAAAAGTGATGTCACAGTAAAGACAAACTCAGAGCTGTGAATTTACACTCCATCTTAACTTCGTTCCCCCATCTGTGAGCGTCCCTTTGTGATTCACCACCAACACTTTTAATTGAATGTCAGTCAAAATGAAGGGGTGTTTAGGGGATGTAATGGTACGGTAGAGTGGAGTGGAGTTGGAAAGTGTAGGGGTTGGGGGTAGTCAGGATTTCATTCCAGCCCTTTAATCAAGGGGTGATTTACACCTGGGAGGCCAGGTGAAAGCAATTAACTTGCCAGTAGGAGAGAAAACCAACAGTCTTGATTTCAATCGATTTAGTAGCACTGCCTTAAGGTACCTATACACTATGTGACAGCAATCTTGATGTTTTAGAAGAATTGTTTTACATATCACAGTAATTGTAAATGATAACATGAATGACAAATATATTCCATTCACCTGCTGCATTTCATTGTGAATGCTGGCTCACTGCCATCGCTTAAGGAGACACTTAAATAGAGCTGAGCCATTGATAATGTTGTCAATTACACCTGTGCTTTTCCTACTATGGCAAGTCAAAATGTGTGCTGGCTTAAAGGCCTAATGTATGTCACACTGTGAGATGGTAACATTTGTGTTTGATTACTTTTCCATTTATCCAACTAATTTATTTATTTTCTTATTGTGCTTGCATTTTTGTGATGTATTGCTTTACTGTGACATTGTTATATATGCTGGAAAGAAACGTCATCCATCCATCTTCAACCACAGGAAGAGGGCCGCAAACCTCCTTTCCCTTGCTTCATCAAATAGCTCTGACTGGGATTCCAAGGCGCTCCCAGGTCAGCGTGGAGATAAAATCCCTCCACCTTGGTCTGCACGTTGGTTTACTCCCAGCTGGATGTGCCTGAAACACCTCTCTAGTGAGGCAGCCAGCTGGCATCCTTACCAGGTGCCCGATAAACCTCAACTAGCTCCTTACGCAAAGGCCAGCGACTCTACAAAAAAGTAGTTTTCCTGCAAAAATACAGAATTACATGGCTAATTAAAACTGCGGTCACAGACGTGAGCGGGCCCTCGCGTCTGTGCGCCTGTCGGGGAGGGCAGCCGGTAGTCCAGGCGTCAAGTTGACGCACACGAGTCCTCCGAAATGAGCCGTTTGTCATTTCTATAATTTTCGCGTCCCAGACTCCTCGATCCTCCGGCAGCGACCCGGAAACGGATGTCGGCGTGCCGTCTCGAAAGAAAACAAATTTCTCTAAAGGCTCGTCGAGGATCGATTATCGAGGAGGCTGTCTGGAGGAGCCGTAACCGAGGATACAATGATTTAGAGGAGAGAGGAATCTCTCTGGAGGAGCTATAACCGAGGGTACACTGATGTATTCTCCGGAGTCGATTTCAGCCAAAAGTGATGTTTAAAAGAGGCGTGACGCATGGCTGGACTTATGTCAACGAAGCACAGCTCTGCAAACTGTTCCCGTTGTGATTATAAGTTATTTAAGATGATCAAATGTGCATCAGACTTTCTGCCCTTTACCGTTTGTTTACTCACTAATAGGGTTGCAAAGGGGCGGAAAGTTTCCGGTAAATTTCCGGAAAGTTTCCATGGGAAGTTAAGCTGGGGAATTTTGGAAATATTCGATGCAAAATTAAACAAAAAACATGACATTTCAACAGATTGTTTTGAATTTTAATATATATATTTTTTAAGTAGAACCGAACAAGTTTTAATTTTTTTATTGAACAATCATTTGTTTCATTGAAGAACGAAAACAGGAATGTTGAGTTAAATATTACTCATCTGTGCATGTGATGGAGGAATGCACAGTGCCTGTAGGGGGTGTGGTCTCAATAGCCATGCAGTAAGCAGTGTGCTATGGCATGAGAACAGCTGCTGAGGTCAGTGCAGAACGCAGAACAGTGTGTATAATATATATCGCTCAATAATATATGTAATAGGCCTACATTACACACTTTATTTGTATGCTTTAGGAGATATCTACAAATAAACAGTAGATATTTTTCATGAAACCATATAGTGCTTCACATAATAAAATATACAAGGGCTGTAGCCTGATATTTATTATATGCTTTAGGAGCTGTTTGTGTTTGTTGTACAATGTGTAGGTGTGTTTTGTAGAGTATGTGTGTGTTGTACATTGTGTAGGTGTGGGTGTAGTTGTGTGTGAGAGTTGATGCGCCGGGCAGACAGGCGGGTCTCAGTAGCTTAAAGTAGTATCTGACATATAAATGGTAAAAAATGGTACATTCTCCGTTAGCCTACGAGCTCCACGTTCAAGTCCTGGATTGGAATTTTCCGATAATTTCCCTAGGAGGAGTTCGCAAAAATGTGCTTAAAATGCATGAAAAACGCACATTTTTCAAAATGGCCAACTTTCCCGGAGGTGGGGCTAATGGAAGCCAATTAGAAATATGTCCGCTATTCCATAAGGAATGTCTCTGCCAAAATTCGTGAAGTTCGGAGAAACTATATGTGACTACCACACAATAGGGGGCGCTTTTTTTTACATTCTCGAAAAGGTTGTGGGCTGTGACGTGTGTCCCAAGTTTTGCGTCAAAAGCTAATTTTATGCTATCGCAAT